TAGTAACAGTCGGTCTGCCTATGTTGTTTTATATTTTTCCTGTAGGTCTTTCTTTCAAGAAGTATCTTCTGTTCTTCTAGCCACTCCAGGTTGGTTTGCTTGTATCACTACTCGTTTTAACTATTGCATTCCTCCTTGTGTCTCCCACTATCTTCGTCTTTCCTCTGCTAACCTCCCTCTTGTTGTATATTGCCTGTCCCGTCACCGCTATCTGTCCTGTAGCCCATGAATAATTTTCTCTCCCCCAGTATCTACCATTGATTTTTTTTTCTTTTATTAAGAAAACCTTTTCTTAACTTTCTACCACATTGGTCTCATACAATATTTGTCCTTTTGTGATTAACTAATTTCGCTTAGCATAATATCCTCCAAGTTTATCCTTATTATGAAGTGTTTTGCAGAGTCATTGTTATTCTTCAGTGTTGCATAGTATTCCATTGTGTGTATGTACCAGTTTGTTTAACCATTCTTCTGTTGAAGGGCATTTAGGCTGTATCTATCTTTTTGATATATTTCTTGTAGACAGTATATTGAAATGTACTGTTTCTTATCCATTCTGATCTCTCTGACTCTTGACTGGTACATTTAATCCATTTGCATTCAGAGTAATTCTTGGTAGGTATGCATTGATTGCTGTCATTTTGCTGTATGTTTTTATGTGGTGCTGTTGGTTTCTTCGTCCCACATAATTATCTGCTAAGCTCATTTTGTTGTGAGTTTTCTTTTTGCATTCTTCTTTTCTGTTGTATTAATGTTTGCAACATTTTTCTGGTTTTTTAAATTTTTTTTCTTACTTTGATGTGCAGGTGTATTCATTCTCTTTGAGGCTACCCTATAATTTATTAACTTTTCCTCTTTAAAACAGTTTGTTTCATCTTGAAATCTACTGGAGTTCTTTACCATTTGAAAGTTCTGTTCTACACTATTCCCTCTTTTTGCTCTATAATTGACTTCTTTATAAATTGATATCTCTGATTCCCTTTTCAGTCTTGTGGGTTTGTTTTGTTTTAAATACTTTTATATCTCGATTGAGTTCTGGGTGGTGGTGTCATATAGCAGTTCACTGTCTGCTGTTGTTTCTCAGTCCAAAGAACACCCTTTAGTATATTTTTGTAAAGATAGTCTGGTCATTAGAAATTCTTTTAATTTCTGTTTATCAGAAAGTGTCCTAATTTTGCTGTTGTATTTGAGAGACAGTTTTGCTGGGTATATATTTTATTTTATTGTGAATTGAGTGATAGTTTACATAGGAAACCATCAGTTTTACATCTTCATATATTTTTATGATTAATGAGAGATTTTTCTCATAGTTAAGTAATTTGACTTTCTTTTGATCCAGTTCCATTTTTTGCCCTTTCAGTGTGTTATCTATCTATTTCTGAATTCTTAGTGTTAATTTTCCAACTTTCTAATTGCTGATTTTATATGGTTCCCATTTTTCAATTATTTTGTCTATTTTTTTCTGATCTTTTCCATAGTTTTGTATATATTTTCCTTGATTTCATCTGTAGTTTTTTCCATCTTTCTCTCAGTCTTCTGAAGTTATTTAGTTAGCATTATTTAAAATTCCGTATCAGGTAGTTCTGATACCATTTGTGGTGTTATATTTTTGACTCTATGGTGCTCTGAGCTAATGCACTAGAATGCATAGTTGGTTTGAACCACAAGGTTGGTGGTTCAAGCTCACCCTCTGCTCCTTGGTCGCTATGGGTCAGAACCAACTGGATGGCACTTAACAATCACAACTCCATATTTTGGTCACTTGTTTGAGGCACTCTGCCTTTTTTCTTTTTGTAAACTGAAATTGTCTGTTTTTTCTGAGATATTTTGGTGCAATATTTATTTTCAGTTGATGATTGTGTATTAGTGTATTCTCAGGCCCTGTCTCCTGGTGGATGTGGTCAAGCCTTATTTTTCACCACTACCTTCAGTACAGCTTGAACTTCTTGCTGCACTACTGTCCGTTCTAGATCAGATGCTACATCTTGAAATGAATAGACATTGACCAATTCTTTCTAGTATTTTGAGTTTGTGTATTCCTTCTTTTGATGCTTCCAGCATCGTTCTCAGTATTTTGCCCATAGAATCCTTTAAGACTGAAACCTGAGGCTTGAATTTTTCTTTAGTTCTTTCAGTGTGATAAATGTCAAGCATATTCTTCTCTTTCGGTTATCTGACTCCAGGCCTTTCACATTTCGTAGTAACACTTTGTCTTCTTAGTCTGCTATTTGAAAATTTCTGCTTAGCTCTTTTATGTCATCATTTATTCTATTTACTTTAGCTACTCTACATTCAAGAGCAAGTTTCAGAGTCTCTCCTGACATCCATTTTGCTCTTTTCTTTCTTGTCTTTTTTAATGACCTTTTACTTTTGTCATATATGATGTCCTTGATGTCATCTCACAACTTGTCTGGTGTTCAGTCATTAGAATTCAGTGTGTCATTTCTGTTCTTGAGATGATCTCTAAATTCAGGTAGGAGCTACTGAAGATCTCATTTTGGCTCTTGTGGACTTGTTTTAATTTTCTTATGCTTCAGCCTGAAGGAGCATATGAGCAATCGAAGGTCTGTTTGCCTGATGACATAGAATTTCTCTATCATCTCTTTGCACATACGGAGTAAATTTGATTCCTTTATATGCTATCTAGTAATGTCCATATATGAATAGTCACTTTTTATGAGGAAAAAAACATTGTTTCCATTGAAAAAGTTGTTGGTCCTCTAGCACTGTTTGTATCACCAACATCAGATTTTCCAACTACTAACTCTTTATTTTCAGCTTCCGTGTTCCAGTCATTAGTAATTATCAGTGTGTGTCTGATCAGTTTCAAACTGCAGAAGTTGTTAAAAATCTTAAATTGCTTCATATTTGGCATTAGTGGTTGGTGTATAAATTTCAATAAAAGTTGTGTTAAATGGTCTTCCTTGAAGGCATATGGATATTATCCTATCACTGCCAACTTTGTACTTTAGGATAGCTCTTGAAATGTTCTTTTTGATGATGAGTGTGATGCTGTTCCTCTTTAATTTTTCATTCCCAGTGTAGTAGACCACATGCTGTCCAATTCGAAATGCCAATAGCAGTCCTTTTCCTATCACTAATGTTTAGGATATCAGTCTTCAAATGTTCCATTGCACTTTTGACTACTTCAAATTTTCCTTGATTTAAGTTTTGTTCATTCTATGTTCCAATTGTTAATGGATGTTTGCTGCTGTTTATGCTCATTTTGAGATGTGCTATATCAGCAGATGAAGGTCCTGAAAGTTCTACTTTCAGGAGGAGGCAGCTTTTCCCCAGTCATAGTTTTGAGTGCCTTCCAACCTGAGGAGACAAATAGTGTTCCATTACTATTCCTAAAATTTTCACTGGCCAGTATTTTCAGAAGTAGAGTTCCACATCCATGATTGACCTTGCTGGAATTTGAAATACCAGTGGCATAGCTTCCAGCATCACAGCAACATGCAAGCCACCACAGTACAGCAAACTCATAGATGAGTGGTGGAAAGGGCCTATGGGTCACATATAAATAAAATCAATTTAAGCAAGTAGTTAATTGCTTTCACTTTGTTTTAGAAATTTGTAAAACATCTAACAAGTTATGTTGTTGTTAAGTGCCATCGAGTCGGTTCTGACCCAGAGCCACCCTGTGTAGGGTTTCCGAGGAGCACTGACCTTGCGGCTCAAAACGTCTTTGCTGTCTAGCTCATTAACCTACAGCACCACATGCAAGTGTATTTAGTGAGTATAAATAGATTTCAGAAAGAAGTGAGGTAAAGAAAGAAAGACATCTGAAGGAGGAAAAATGGGTGTTATGTTTTTTGAGAGAAAGAAAAAGCTGAGGTAGCATCTGCCCTGAGCCCTACAGCCTGTGGTTTCTTCACAGGGAGCCCAGTTGGGCTACTGGTCACTCTGACGTTGTGTCTACAGGTTATTCTCATGGTGGTTGCTTATAATCCTTTCCGTCTGCATTGAGATCTGTTTCTCTTCCAGCTTTAATAATGTGTACTAAAACCACTTCAGCTGAGTTAATTTTGAGTCCTAGCAACTGTATGGTATAGAGTGTTATTGTTGTTGCTGAGTGCTGTGGAGTCAATTCCGACTCACAGCAACTCTGTATAGACTTTCCAAGGAGCAGCTGGTGGGTTTGAACTGCCGACCTTGTGGTTCTCAGACCATTGCTGATCCTACAGCATCACACCTTAGTAAAATTCTGCCAGTTGTCTTAGTAATGTTCTTTATAGCATTTTTGTTTATTTGCTTGTTTCTGATACAAAATCCAGTCCAGCATTACCCATTGCACCTCATTTCCATGTTTTTCGTGTTTTGTTTTCGTTGTCTTTAGTTAGCTGGAATTGGACTGAGTCTAAACCTTTTTTTTTTTTTTCAGTTTTTTGTGATACTGAAGTGTCCAGGCCATCAGTTTTGCAATATATCTTTCAGTTTGAATATTTTTATATTTCCTCATGATGTGATTCAAATTGCACAAGCTCTGGTAGCGTAGTGGTTATGAATCGGTCTGCGAACCCCAAGGTCAGCAGTTTGAAACCACCAGCTGTCCCGCAGGAGAAAAATAAGGCTTTCTGCTCCCGTAAAGATTTACACCCTTGTAAACCCTGCACGGGGTCGCTATGAGTCGGTACTGACTCCACCGTACATAACCAACCACTACAGAACAGAGTTGAGGGATGACATCAAGAACAGCATACATGAAGAGAGCAAAAAGTCATTAAGAAGACAAGAAAGAAGGAAAAGTTCAAAATGGATGTCAGAGGAGACTCTGAAACTTGCTCTCCAGTGTAGAGAAGCTAAAGCAAATGGAAGAAATAAGGAGGTCCAAGAGCTGAACAGAAAATTTCAAAGATCAGCTT